AGATATCTACTGGTGAGCAGTAAATTTCCTCTTGTTTCAGTGATCAACTTCAAACATTCCTTCGCTAGACACTGTCGGCGACCCAGCTTCTCTTCGGCAAATTCTACACGTTCCTCCCCATTAAATGGGTATACGTCGCTGCCATCAGTGTATTCGAAATTGGTTCCCTCATCTGTGGCGCGGCCCCCACCTCGGATGCGCTCATCATCGGACGCGCCATCGCAGGTCTAGGAAGCGCTGGCATCATCAGTGGATCGCTCATCATCGTAGCGAACACTGTTCCCTTGGCTCGGCGACCCATCTACACTGGTCTCGTTGGTGGTATGTACGGTATTGCCAGCGTCGCCGGTCCTCTCTTGGTAATGCCAAATTACCTCCCGCTCCTCACCCGTCTAATTCGTTCGAATTTCAGGGTGGTGCATTCACAGATAAGGTTACCTGGCGGTTTTGCTTCTACAGTACGTTTAAAGTTTTGGCGTCGAAGAAAAATAACATCGCTAACTATAAACAGTTAATCTGCCGATGTACGTGCCAGTGATTGAAGCCAAAAAGTTAACACGCGTTTCTGACACCGAGCAGCGGCGCCATTACACTTGCAGTCATAATATTCCTGTTCAAGATGCCGAAACGTGCTCAGATCAAACACGAGCCCATGACGATCAGGGAGCGGCTAGGGCAGTTCGACCCCGTTGGCACGATTGTCTTCATCCCTGCCATTGTTTCGCTGCTCCTCGCCCTCCAATGGGGCGGCTCCAAATATCCGTGGAATTCCGGCCGGGTCATTGGCCTGTTTGTCGTTTTTGGAGTGCTCATCGCCGTCTTCATCGGGGTGCAGTTCTGGAAGCAAGACGCCGCCACAATCCCGCCTCGTCTTTTGAAGCAGCGAAGTATCTGGAGCGGTTGCCTGTTCGCTTTCACTGTGGGAGGCGGATTCATGATCATCACTTTCTACGTATGATTTCACTGTGCTTTTGAACCCTTTCGCAGTTTGACTGACCACTTCTTCGTTCTGTAGCTCCCGATCTGGTTCCAAGCTATCCGTGGTGTGAGCGCCGTACAGTCAGGTATCGACGGTATCCCCATGATTCTGTCACTCGTCGTCGCCAGTCTCGCCTCGGGAATCGCCATCACGATTGTTGGGTACTACGTACCTTTCATGCTCGCTTCCTCCGTCATCCTCACCGTCGGCTGCGGGCTCCTCACAACGCTCAAACCCGACTCAAATCACACGAAGTGGATTCCTTACCAGTTCATCGCCGGTGTTGGTAACGGTCTCGGATCGCAGCAGCCCCTTCTTGCGGCGCAGGTCGTCCTCGCCATGAAGGACATCCCGGTTGGTACCTCCATGATTATGTTCATGCAGACCCTCGGTGGCGCGCTCTTCATCTCCATTGGCCAGAATGTATTCACCAACAAGCTGGTATCTGGTTTAATCAGCAAAGTGCCTAGCGTATCTCCTCAATTGGTTCTCGGTGTCGGTGCTACTTCGCTCAAGAGCGCCGTGCCACCAGAGCTCCTTCCTCAGGTCTTGGATGTTTACAATACGGTGCGCCATAGCTTGAATCATTTCCTTTCGTTTTTACCAACAATTCTACCAAGGCCCTTGTATCGTCGTTCTACGTCTCAACTGCGATGACGGGCCTTTCGCTCATCGGCGCTCTCTCGATCGAGTGGAAAAACATCAAGGGCCGGAAGATGGAGATGGTTGCTGCATGAACATCTCCGCTGTGTATATTTCATTCTTGGCGACCTGGGATAGAATGTCGTTCATTCGGTAAATACTGACGTCGAGTGTTGAGGAGGAGGAGGAGCTAGAGCTACACGTAACGCAAACTTAATGCTGCTTAGACGAAGCAACTATCGTTTTCATGTATAGCTAACTAATGAGTATGGAGGAATTTCTTGGAGCGAACAGACTATGGATAGAATTGGACTTTGCATTCACATACAAGTAGGTATCTTATCTCTCCGACGTGTCTTCACCCATCGCGATTCGCCTTAACGCGCGCAACTCGCCCCAAGATTGAAGCCCAAATATCTGAGGGAGCTCGTTCCAGAACGCCGAAGCACCCTCATGCTGCTTCGTCTTTGCGGTGTTTGCGCATTCGGTGCACAACCTGCCGTTGCTGGTGAGGTATCGTAACACCTTCTTGGCCATATCGAAGACATCGACCGCGTCCACGGAAACGAGATTGAGGATTTCCGTTATCATTTTGTTGCGGGCCACATTGCACGTCTGTGTAGCGGTACAAGTTTCGAACTGCCGGGCAGTCAGAAATCGATGCATCGAGATGATGGCGCGAGTCAGATCTGCGTGGCCCTCAAGAGCCTGCAGCGCAAATCGACATAGCGTCCCGTCTAAGAACGGAAGGAGCTCTTTGACGGAGAATGTGGCAGCGCAATAGTAGGCATAGGGAAGGAGCCAAAAGGCGCCGACTTCGGCGGCGGCGGCGATTACTGAGAGCGCGTGAACTGGGGTTAATGTGCCGGGCATGATGAGATGGTTCTGCTCGACGATGTCTTCATAACCGGCGGGAAAGTACCCCTCCGCAGCGAGATGCTCCAGGGCGCGATTATGCAAATATGGGACATCGTATTTATGTGAAAGTCGAAGGATGCCAAGAACAGCGTATAGATCATAGGCGGCGGGAGCAGGCATGAAGTAACTGATGAAATTTTTCTTCAACGTCTTCACTGATAATTCGGTAGAACGGACCTCGAATCATATATTGCCCGTAAGAAGACCTCGACGTCTTTGGAAGGATCCTGTAAGCGCACTACGGGGCATCCATCCATGAAATCTTCGTCCGACTTGGGCTGAGGAAACGCAATCATGTCTCGAAATACAGTGGATCTCGCCGCCAGAATGCCTCCTGGAACACGGAAGACCTTGTCTTCTGCCTGAATCACTATGAGGGCATTAGTGAACCACAAATCGTCGACTTGTGCGGAGGAATCTTGAGGTTTGTTGGAAGAATTGAGTTGATGACTTCTACTGGCATCCATGGTATGGCTATCGGTTGAGTTATTGCGATTCTATCAATGAACGTTCAGAGGTCGTCGCGGTTGTGATGGAAACAATGAAGTGTGGAGGTGGCAGTGCTACACCTCTAGAATGACTGGAAACTTTGAGAGGTTTACTCAGTTAACCGTGGACTTGGCCCCACTGTTCAAGCGTTACCACTCGAGTTATGGAACGAGGTGTTATAGTTCGCCAGACAGCGGGCCTGTCTCCCACAACCCGTCCAAACCAATTCAATTCATGACCCTTGGTCCTAGACTTCAAGTGAAATTTGAATGAAGGATATGAACGACTTGGTTTCGACTGCGGGCTCCTCGTTATGAGGCTTGAGCTTCGTCGGAATGTCGCACCTCTCCATCAATATCCTCACCCATCGCCGTCCGCTTCATTGCATACAATTCCGCCCAAGGTGGGAGACCGAACAGACCAGGAAGCTCGTCCCAGAACGCCGTAGCGGCCACGGACAGTACAGCCTTGGCGACCGCACGACAATCACTGCACATACCCAGTGCATTCAATTTCTCCATAGTCGTCGCCTCGAGGTTTGGCGTCACCGGGTTTAGGCGGGGCTCCGATACCTCATCGAGACGCTGAGCGAGCACCATGCTCCGAGCGGTGTCACAGGTACTGGGAGCGTAGCATGACGAGTCGTCGGGCATCGCGAAACGGTGTGTGGCAAGTGCCACACGGACCATATGTCCACGAGCGGCGAGCGCTTTCCCTACAGGGTGAGCAAATTTGCCGTCGAGGAGTGGAAGGAGATCCTCGCCCGACGAGGCGGACAGACAGTAATATGCAATAGGAAGCAGCCATAACGCTCCCACAGCTCCAGCATCGCAAATCACTTGAAGGGGGATGAGAGGATTGTAGTCCCAGTTGCTGAGCCCATTGAGAAGATGGGCGGTATCATCCTCATCGTAGTTCTCTGCATACCACCCGTCCACGCGGAGGTGCTCAAGAGAACGCCGATATAAATACTGCACATCATATTTGTGAGACAATCGAAGTATTCCGAGAACGACAGAGAAATCGATCGGAGCGGGGGCAGGAAGAAAAAGCTGGTTCAAAGAGTATGAGGCATCTACGAGACACCATGATAGCACGCAAAAGCGTACCTAGAGTCGTAAATTGCCCTCAGGAAGGCCGCCACATCATCAGCGGAGTCATGCAAATGCACAATGGGAATCCCGTCCATGTTCTCGATAGCGTCATTCGTGGGCGGAGGAAGGGATATCATGTCTCGGAAAACACTAGATCTTGCGGCTAGGATTCCAGCGGGGACGCGAAACGCCTTGTCTTCAGCACGAATGACTATCATATCTGTTGCAAACCACAGGTCCTCCACCTGAGTGACGGGTCCATCCGCCACAGATCCATCGACTTCTGCGCTCTGGGACAGGTCCATTTGAAGAAAAGAAGCTCGAGAAAGGCGCAGGGAATGTCGGGTCTAATTGACGAGTCGGAGGAGATGAAGGTGGGAACGTGGGAAAGAGTAACGCGGTCATGTGGGGATAACCTTCCCCGATCTCAAAGCATCCGCCTCCTCCCTGCCCTCGTACCGAATCTATTTAGTCCAGTTGACAGTCAATTCTTAATATTGCGGCGGCTGAGACGGCAAGATTATAAAGCCAGCATTGTGGTTCAGCAGTTCCGATCATCTTGTTTGCCGGATGAGAATGCAGATCTAGAGGCTTCCTCCTCCCTACACTTTGAAGCATTCAGCTATCATCAGACAGTTAGCTTGGGGGGTGCAAAGATTAATATTTGTGCACAGATAATATAAGCAGCCGAGCATACTTGTGCGGAAATTGAGATTAAGTAAAGGCTTTAATTTTCGGGAACCATAGTGGAAATCTCGTTTAATTGACAAAGTAAACCCTGAGAAATATACTCTAACGAGACCTCGTATCGATTGCGCCAAAAGCTCCGGGACCAAAATAGGGCGAAAGAATGACTCGCAAATGAACTCAAAAAAATATTCCGAATCGGGGAATCGAACCCCGGGCTGCCGCGAATCGTGGTCGCAGAAATTTTCTCACGGTCTGAGAGGCGGCAATGTTAACCCCTACACCAATTCGGAGTTATGAGACATGTAAATGTGATTTATACATTCATAGTTCACTCTAAAACTAAGCGGAAGCTGAGCGAATCAAATTTGGTGAAATTTGAATCATTGCAAGAGAAGTTGATGTTATTATCGTTCATCACGACAGGACCACCATACAGACGGCAATTTTAACCCCTACACCAGTTCGGAGTAAGCACGGACCCATACATGCTAAATCAAGTCCAGAACAATCATTGCAAGAGAAGTTGATGTTATCATGATTTATTACGGCTTGGAGGGTGAGCTGGACCATGATAGTACCATCCTGCATGTCCCACATTACCTACGATGCTCAAAGAGGACCAGAATACGAGTAGAAAGTCGACAATACGGTGAAATTCAACCGTGGGAATATCTGAGTAAGGTTGAACTTGAGCCAATCTTAACAAGACTTGAAGCTAGCTTGAAGTGTTGTGCATAAAGGGGGGGTGATTTGGTGAAGGATTAAAAGTATCTGTAAATAGGGTATTTTTCCCCCGGGCTTTGACTTATATATCAGAAGTTTTGTTGTTTTATCTGCTTTGTTCACCATCCTTTGTCAAAAGTACACAGAAAGTCTGGATTGATTTTTCTCACGAAAGGCTATCAAGTTGCCGATTCCTGCTGGAGGCGAAACACCGTCCTAAGATCGTATCAGGCTGTAAATGTACATATCGTACAATCATGATTACCACGTCGAGAAACAATGGCAACACTCACTTCACCCTATCAAAGCTCACACCGGCGAGCGCTCCGACCGAAATGACATTTAAATTTTCTTGAAAGATGGACGTGCATATCGGATATGAGATTGTTTTTCATGCCTAGCGCCGTCTTCAGCGGTAATTTCGACCCTGTGCTGTGCTCGCAGCGATTTGCCCAGTACTTTGGATCAGATTTCAGTCCTTTTGTGTTTGTAGCTGCGGGGATGGGATTAATATTGGCATACTTAAGATGAGACGGACACTAACATACAGTTGATAAAGGTCCATATGAAGAGGGCTGCAACTTGTATATGATCGCAAGGAGGAAGTCGGCTACATTGAATGTGTATGTCAGCACGGGGCGGTACGGTCAGGGTCAGGTTTTTGGGCCAATACGGAGTCCATTGGAGTTGGAGCGAAAGCGGGGCAAAGGGAGCATGACGAGTCTTACTCATACAATAGCGTAAAGCGAAATTTTTGCGAGAAATTTTGATATGGTGTGTTAGCTTCACAATCCGCCGCGTTCGAGTTCGTTCAGGCAATACAAGTGTGTTCTCCATGCTCCGGAAAGATACCCGCTATTTGAGATAGGGAAACAGGCACCTCCGAATGACTTCGGGCTTGGTTCGGCAATTCTGTATGATATCCGTAAATGCATACAAGAACTTGAAGTTGTACGACCCTCAAAACCATCTGTGGATTTCTGCTTCGAGCAGAAAGTTTTGCGGAATGATAAGTCATATGATGACGGCTGAGAGCAAAGTCTTTCAGGTGACTTGAGAGACGGTGGCTTTTCACAGTCTAGTTAAATCCCAACTCGAAACATTGAAGACGCTGCGAAATACGATATATATTTGAGAGAACGGCGATTGCGGTCCTTGTAAGTTGATATGTATGAGTATGTTGGTTGGTGCGTACGCGTATAATTGTAGAACAAGTGCAAATTGGCTATGCTGTGACAAGAAAAAATCGTGGATGTTTATTGCAAGATTGGAACGAAATGGATGCGGTGGAGGTGGAGACGGAGAACTAAGGATGAATGATCATGCGACTTGGCAGTCCGAAAGCGACAGAACACTGGATAGCGGAGGAACCATAGATATCATGTGTGGTGTGGACGGAACCGAGGTCCGAAGGTTGCTAGATTCGCCGAGAGCGCAGCTTACGGCGTAAAGCCAGCAAAGTATGGGTGTAAAAGCACCCGTTTGGCTGAAGCAATTGATCAGCTGCTATGTCGCTCCATTGGCACTCATTGAAATGGACCACTCACCTGAGATGCGTTTAGTAGCATCATACATGAGTGTCGCCTGTCGAACGCCAACAAAAATTCAAACCGTGAAAACCAACCATGAGAAAAGACACCTTGCCTGCAACATATCGAGGCCATGCTCATCAAGGGCGGGCACTACCTTAGCTAGATCTTGCGCAGTCCATTGGGGGAAAGTCGGTTTATAGTCCGGCAGCGTCTGAATCCCCGGCCACGTCAACTCATTCGGCGTACCCATGATTCTGTTTCGTGGTCAGCCTACATGAACCACAATAAGAGGTTCTCACGTTCCTGATGAAAACGAGAAGCTAAGAAAGTAGAAAACAGAACATACCTAAATATCCTGAATATCTGATCAATTTCCGAGTCGCCTGGGAACAGCGGCGTTCCCCTCATAGCCATCTCCGCAAAAATACAGCCTACGCTCCACATATCAAGCGCAGTGCTATAATGGCGCGACCCCAAGAGAACTTCCGGCGCGCGGTACCAAAGCGTCACGACCTACCACGTTTGATTGGCCAGTCAGCGATCCGTGCGGATAGAAACATTGAAATGAAAGAGACCTCATGCGTGTAGGTCCTCATCGGGACACCAAAGGCCCTTGCAAGTCCAAAGTCTGCCAACTTCAAGATCTCACCGTTACCGTGCTCATCTAGTCGGCCACGAGGGTCCTGCGCGACGAGGAGATTTTGGGGTTTGAGATCACGATGTAGGATGCGGTGACCGTGGCAGAAGCGTAGACCAGCTGTGAGGTGGTGGGTGAATTTCTACAAATTGATTAGTGATAGTAGACTTGAGATAGAACGAAAAAAAAATCGGAGAATATTTTTCATCGCATATTGAACATGAGCAACGTAACGGAGGGGTTCGGTCGAATAAATCGGCCCGAGGATTACCTCCCGTCTAATCCGCTTACCAAACAGCGGCGCCGTATGTGCAGAGCAACACACCCATCAACGCCCACAGGACGCATGTTGATCGTGGTCAGCAGACTGGAGAACGTCCAACGGCTTTTCATCACCGCCGGCGCAACGGAACTGGCAACAACCGGCATGAAGTGGAATGGGAAAAGAGAGAAGGAAAAATAACGAGAACAATAGAAAGAAGGGAAGGACAGCAGGCAAGAACGGCACCACGCAGATAGGGAGCGTGGTGGCGTTGCAGCCTGGGAATCCGTGATAGCTCGTGGCGATTTTTTTGTGCTCACTCCACTGTGCGCGAGGGGAGTGCCGCGCGGGAGCTTCTTCAAAGATACCGAAGAGAAGCGGTAGCGCCAATGATGACGGCCGAACAGGGGCCGCCGGCACACAAACAATGAGAGAAGTGGACCCACTTTAACGACATGCGGGGCAATGGGGACGTGGTCGCGGTTCCCGTTCTCGATGTAGCGCTTCAGATCAACATCGAGGTATTCAAATACGAGGTAGAGCTTCTGGTCGACGTGCATAATATCGAGAAGCCTGTGCGGCGTAGAAGAAAAGTCAGACAGGGAGCGAGAACCAAGGACGAGATAATAACGACAGACCGGACGATATGCTCCTCATTTAACTCCCTGAGTAGACTGATTTCGCGAATGGCGGTACTTGGAATGCCCTCGTCTTCGGCCTCAAGCCGAATCTTTTTCATGGCGACAATGCTGCCGGTCGAGAGGTCCTTTGCTTTGTAGACGACTCCGTACGTCCCTAAACTCCGAATACAGGCCAGAAAAGGGGGACGACTGCATTGGACACACACCTTCGCCTTTCGAGGAGTTAGGACCGAATGAATGAGTGGAAAGCGTGTAAAGAGAGGCTTACCGATTTTCTCGATTCTGGAGTAGCTTCATACAATAGATTCAGCCTGAGTACTCGAAGTAGTCGTCCGGCTCACCGCTCCATAGTCTCTGAGGATTCGTTTGAGCTTATGGCCTCGTGAAAGGGTGGGCGATGGACGTGGGGCGGATCAGACCGATAGGTAATGTACTTATACCCTGGGTGATAGATTACCTAAGTATCGATGGACTTGTACCCATTTGTAGATGTAGCGAACGACTCACAAGATAGCCGGGAACGCTACGGGCGACGTTCCAGCCTCAAAGTAAATGGTTTGTAGAGTGGGGAAGAGAGAGTCTTCTTTTTCTAATTTATGCACAGCCACCGTCCCATGCCTTCATCAGAATTGCATCAGCGCTCACATCAGCTCTCTGAAATGGAATACTGCTGGTTGGCACGCTGACTGGATGGGTTTAAATTCGGATACAAAGAGGTTGACAAAAGGTCTCAGAAATCTAAGTCAAGATTGACTTTACGAGTACTTTTAAGTAGTCGTTCTTTTAGGATCCTCCATGAGCCATTTTCCTCTGATCCCATCAGTGTCCCGCTTTTACGATGTAATGAAAACGCTGTTTTTTCCCACGCTATTTCTAATGCCTCTTAAATTTCATCACAACCGTTTCTAATGCCTGTCAAAATTTGTGATCGTGTGAACATTTTCCCTCGGCATAAATGATGCGGTTGATAGATGTCTGATCTACTCGTTTTACGGTGTTCCTTCTTTGTTTTCCTTCGTCCCAACCGCCTCTGGGGTTTGTTGTTGGGCGGGAGTCAAAAGATAGACTCCTTCGGCTATTGTTTGTCTATACATGTAATAATGTATGAGTTGAAATTCGCTCTGTGGCAGTCGTTGTGTGGTTATACATTTAATAACGTGTTCGCGATGTGCATCCACCTCATTGTTCTGTTGCTCTTGGAGAGTTCATCACTTACCGTCCGTCTTGGATCAGATCCCAATATTCCTGTAAGCTCTCAGATCCTTCCGGATACTTTGAATGTCAGAAAATAATAAAGATTAACTCGTCGCGTGATTTATAATGTCCAGCAACAGGCGCAGGCGTTTAATCCGTTTGGGTTTCCTGACGGTGTTTGAGGTTTGGTGTAGATGCGATGTTGTAGGTGTAGCAGCGGGATGCTTAGAAAATTGTACCGTAGATAATTCTGGTATGTCAGTTGAGGTGAATTTGGTTCGGGGGGATGTCGGGTTCTAGG